ATTGCAGGCTGACTCTGCCAACTGCCAGCAGTTCGATCCTGAGAGGCTCAAGGTGGACTCAGCCTTCCATCTTTCTGAGATCGGGTAAAAGGAGGACCCAGATTGTTGGGGGTAAAATGCCAACTAAACCACTTAAAGAGGGCTGTAAAGCACTATGAAGCGGTATATAAGTCTAAGTGTTATTGCTGCTACTATTTGTTTTTTCTTCCAGAACAGAGGAATAAAGTATTTGATTCCATTTGCAAGTTCTATTAAGTGCCAAACATGAGTTTGGAGTTTACATTCTCTCTCCCCACCTTAGGATTTCAAATGATGGTGGAGTCAAATCTATCCAATTTGCCTTCACTAGGACTGCAGCCATCATGCTATTTTATTTCTTTGATTAGAGTCAACCTTTTCCAACACGCAGTTACAGCTAGAAGTATCTACCTCAGGTCACTGGATCTGGGACCTATGTAATATGCAATGTCAGAACATTTGTCTAGAGGCCATTTTATAACACGAAAAAGCTCCTCCTTTGAAGAATGTAGGTGTTTAAATGATTTTGTTGCACTAGTGTAGGTAGTCCTTGACATATGACCATAATGGAGGTCTGCCCATTGCGGACATTATGTCATAAAGTTGTAAAACAGGTCAGTGACATGACTGATCTAATTTTACCTTTTTTGTTAAGAAAACCAATGCTTTGCTACGGGCACACAAAAAGCCAGAAATAACCATCATAAAATGCAGAGGTGTGACCCAGGGGTGCTATTCAGCAGGTTCTGACAGGTTCTGGAGAACCGGTAGTGGAAATTTTGAGTAGTTTTGAGAACCAGCAAATACCACCTCTGGCTGGCCCCCAAGTGGGGTGGGAATGGAGATTTTGCAATATCCTTCCCCCAGAAATGGAGAAGGAATGGAGATTTTGTAGTATCCTTCCCCTGCCACGCCCACAGAACTGGTAGTAAAAAAAATTGAATTCCACCACTGGTGTGACCTTAGGATACTGCAAATGGCTGAATTGTGGCCGAGTGCCCAAATTTCAGCCATCTGACCGTAAAGTGGGTCCAATTGTCGGAACTTTGAATCCCGGTTGTAAGCCCTATTTTTCTGGTTGGTTGTACTTTCGAATAGCGGCTGAACAACTGGTTGTAAATTGAGGACAACCCGTAAGAGCCAGTCACTCCCAAATGTTCTTTGCTTATTATTGGGAAGGCGGGGGGGGGGGAGGGAAGGAAAGTCAACAGCTTGAAGAGAGATACATACACCATGCTGTCTACGCTACATAGCCTAATGGTTTATTCAGAAATGATTATTCCAAAATGAGTGTTACCTTATTTATAAAATTGGTGGTAATCAAAAGTTACCATTTCCTGATGTAGAAAATTAAGGCAAAGATAGTGTGTCTAGGAAAAACCAATTTATTGGAGGAGACTATATGGGAGAATCGATACTAATTAGGTTAATTAAATGGTGTCTGCTCCAATTAACACCGTAATTCATTTGGGTTAGTTTAATTTAGGTCAAATCGCTGCTCTGAGGCTTTCCACTAGGATTTAAAATGAATTTCATTTATTCCTGCTAACCGTTAACCTTGCAGACATGGAGATCTGTTTCACATCCAGATAATAGATGCCTGTGCAATTCCTCCGACATGTCCAGTCCTGCCTAGCAGATTCATCAAGCCACAAGTGTGTTCTCTCTGTGATCTAAGCCCTGGAACAAACCCTTGTAGCCATGTGTGCTAGTAGTTAACACATGGATTTGCACAACTTAAATCTGATGTTCAGACTTGTCTTAACTGTCGCATGTTTTCTGGTATTGAGTGGCTTTAACTCCATGTGTTGGGATCATATATTGGAAAACCATGGAGTTCATAACCTCCATATTAGAATAACAAGAGTTGAAAGGGATCTTGGGAGATCTTCTAGTCCAACCCCCTGCTCGAGCAGAGGACCCCATACCGTTCTGGACAAATGGCTGTCCAATCTCTTCTTACAAAAACTTCCAGTGATGGAGCCCCCACTTCTGAAGGTAAACCATTCACTGTGTAGCAATCATAAATGCTCAGGTAAATGCTCATTCTCCACGATTGTATCGTTATCTGTGTTGCATCTGGCTTGTTGCTCTGGTCCACCTAAGATTTACTGGCCTGGGATATCTGCAGGGCAGGACCCATTGATTGAGTAGGCACTGCCTCTAAGGGGAGCAACATTGAGCTCTCTGAGCCTCTTGCTACACCTGGATGGACAGTGTAAAATCATGGCCAAAAGCATTTTTTGCCCAGCTTCAGCAGGTACACCAATTGCAGCCCTTCCTGGAGAAGGAAGTTTATACCTTGATCATCCCACAGAATTCTGGCATATGATTTCCATGGGGCTGTTTTTGAAATTCACTTGGATCTTACGACTGATCAGAAATGCAGCCATCTTCGCCGACCTGCTTCAGCTATTGCCTCCATCCTGCGGGATATACCGATTCTCATTAAACTCTGGGTGCAATCCAAGGTGTTAAATTTTTCTCTTAAAACCCCCTCAATGGCCTGGGGCCCTCAGGATTGCTTCCTCCAGCTTTGTCCAAGGAATTCCTCCCAGAAGCTGTGTGCGATTCTCTTTAATTTTGCAAGATGACCAGCACTGAATCTAGAATCCTTTTTTCTGATTCTGGTTTCCATGCTTGCTCTAAAATAGCTTCCTTCTGGCCACCAGGCTGGTCCCCTTGTGGGATATCCTTCCAAAACAAAGACTTCTCCTGGAGGACCTTGGGAGAAGGTGTGTCACCTGTAAACCACATTTTATTTTGTTGTTGTTTATCTGGTATTATGGAGTATATAGCCGCTTCCAATCTCTGAATACAGGTTGTCATTTTAGCATAGATGTCTTCTTGTGGTTTGTGTTGCTGTAGGTTATTGTTAAGTTTGACAGACGTGACCATAGATAAATAATCTATTTATCACTAGGGCCTGGAGGCAACCGCTTGTCAATCTCTCTCATATACAACATCCATACATCTCTCTCGGAGAGAATCTTTCTCTCATCATTCTCTCAAATGGATCCTATTACATCTCAGCGCTGGCCAGATGGCCGATTCCAGTTTTACTTTGAAAGGATCTGTCGGTTGCTCCCTGCAATGAAAAACCTAGTAAAACCAAAATCTACTGCTCAGCCTCCAAGGAGACTGATTTCTAAGCCCCTTTCCCATCCATCTTGTTTTTCCTCAGCTCTAGCGTGGAACTTGGTCTTGCTATAGGCATTCAATCATTTAACACAGAAATGCAGGCCTCTCTTTGCAGGTTCGACACAAACCTGGTGGTAGTGGGAACCCCTGGAGGGGGCAACTATTACTAGGGAAAGGCCATTTATTTATAATTGATTAGATCGCTAATGTTGCCTTTTTTGTCCCGAGCAAAAGGCAGCGTAGATAGCACTGGCTTCCCAATTCCCCCCCCCTCTACAACCTTGTTACCTCTTGTGCTGGGACAGTGACTAAGACAAAATCACCCAGGTAATTCCCCACAGCTGAGGGTAAACTTGAAGTAAATATAAAAATACTGTGTTAACTAGCACAGAAAGCTCGTACCTTACCCTATATTTCACTAAACACAAGTGTTGAAATGTTCCTGGCCCCAGCAATTTAATCATTATGTCTTCAATTCCTGCTACAGGGATTATATCCAGTGACATCACAGCTATGATTACAGGTAGTCCTCAATTTACGACTGCAATTGAGCCTGGAATTATGGTTGTATGTCACTGTGGTCATAATTTGTGATGCCTGTGACTGTAAGTAATTTTCTGGCCTGTTTTGTTAAGCGAATCCATTCATTTGAATTGGCATCTTTTTTGCCAGAAACCAGCAAAAATCATTGCAAATTGCAGTCACACCGATCCCAAAAAGTCATGATCGAGTACAGAATGCCCCAACCGGTTATAAAACTGACCTGAGTCTGACATGCAGATATATGACCTTGAGTGGTCTCATTTACAACAGCTGCAGTGGGCTTTACAGCACCTGTTCTGTGGTGGTGTAACTGTGGTTGTGAAACAACCAATCATTAAGCAAGGACTACCTGTAAAGTTCTTAGCATTTCTGGAGGCTTAAGGGGCAATTTGTGCATATTTCAAAGGCAGTTTAGCATAGTAGTGAAGGTGCTGGACTATAAACTGGGAGAGTGTGACCTGTAGTTCTCCCTCAGGAATGAAAGTTGCTTGTGTCCTTCTCTCAGCCCAACCCATCTAATGGGGGCTGTTGTAAGGAAAATAGGAGGCAGAAACATATTTTTTTATGACCCTATAATCCCTTGCTTAGGTGGTGGCGTCGAGCGACTAAATGGAGCTGAGCATTTACTGGCTGGATGCCCTTCCTGGCGCCTACGTGGAGTTCACAGCAGATATTTTCTCTTTGCACCCTGCTAGAGAAAACATCCGTTGCTGCCTAGGATTGAACTCTCAACCTTCCAAGTTGGAAGGGCAGCATCTTCACCACTAGGCCACCACACTGCTCAGGCAGGATCATTATATAATGGTGGGATAATGATGACGATGATCACCACTATCACCTTCTCCAAAGGCCTCCTATGTGCTACTTCAATCCTCTTTGTACAGAAGAATCAAATTTTAGCAGCCCAGATAGGGAAGGCGCACATGGGCTCAATTTTCCACCTTAAAGATGAAGCCAATGTTGATGCCTGATGCCAAAGGTGGCATTCCTGATCCCCTCAACTCTGGCCTCCCTCGGAGGGCGGTGTGTAAATAAAAATGACAGAGTGAAGAGCAGTTCCTTTTCTGATGGCAAGGAAGTGTGTGCAGCCCAAACTCATCAGCCGCCTGCCTGTCCCAAGCCTTGTCATTCTCTCCCCTCCATTAACCAACCACACAACTTTACAGCTCAGATCAATATTGTCCTCTACATTGACGCTCGAGACCATTTACATCTGCTTTTTTCCCCTTACGGCAAGCACGGATGGCAAGCCGTAAACTCATCCAATCTTTTCTGCACCTAAACAAAAGAGAAACACGTTTAGTTTTATATTCATTTAATAGTTTACCAATTGGTACAATAAGATTTTTGTTTTAATATGCAGAAAACATGAATAAATTTTGTTTTACACAGTCTGAGAGCAACAAATCTTACTGTAAAACACAGAGCAGTATTATATACATTCCTTTACTGATTTTTTGTTTTTTGTTTTTTTATTTTAATCGTGTCAATATCTTCAGTTAACTCCTACATTCTGGGGGGTGAGGAAAAACGTTCTCCAATAGCAATTTCTACATCGCTCTTACTGGATTAAAAAAAAGAGAGAGAGAGAGAGAGAGAGAGAGAGAGAGAGAGAGAGAGAGAGAGAGAGAGAGAGAGAGACTTGTGTCTTCTTGTCAGTGTCAAACTTCTAAAACATGGACAATTTTTGCTAATTACTTCCAGAAAGAACTTTGGAAAAATTCAAAGGATGTGCTTAGGACAAGAAAGCAGTTACAAGGACAGAGGGGGGAAAAAAAGGAAGGGGAACCAACTTAATATCCAGTTGTGACTTGCTAAATCCAGTTCCACATTTTTTTTAAAAAAAAATCAACCTTATCCTATTTCCTCCCCAATCACTTTTGCTAACTTTATACACCATCATCAATAGAGATTTATAGTAACTAGTACCTTGGGCATTTTTTTTTTTAAAAAAAATTACATAACTGTGAAATCATCAACGGAGAAGTCATTCTCTCTTTCTCAAAATTCGGTCCATTTTACATTCCAAACGGCATTTCAGGATTTTCAAGCCACAACTGTGTGCCAAACCCAACGCAAAATATTATCGTTTTTAAATAGCTTTCAATGGATCAGGTTGTGGAGTCACGGGAACAGAGGAACGAGAAAAGGCCGTTTAAGGATGAATTTGACCGACTCCTTCGACTGACATAAAGAAAGGTAAGAGGCAAAACAGAAAGAGCAGCAGACAGAACAGACCTGGAAAGGGATACGGGAGATTGGGGGAAGGAGACAGTGAAGCAATCGCCAAAGCTTTCAAAAGACTACAGTGCTCCACAGCTCTTGACAACTTGCTAGCAACTAGTATTTTGTGGTATTTTTTTTAAAATTTTTTCTTTATTAGTGCTCTGGGCACATCATTGGTCACACCACACACCAAAGTAGGACGGTTTTAAAAAAAAAAAAAGAAAGAAAAAGTGTAAAGTGCAGATTGCTCCAAGACTTGAGTCAAGGGTGTCCAATTTTGGCAACTCTTAAAAACCTGTGGACTTCAACTCCCAGAATTCCCTAGCCAGCATGGCTGGCTGGGGAATTCTGGGAGTTGAAGTCCACATGTTTTAAAGTTGCCAAAATTGGACACCCTGACTTAAGTTTTTGGATTGTGTTCAAACCACCACCACCAAAAAAAAAAAACCCCTAAAATAAAAGTTTGCACTTTTTTCAGGTGAAAGAACCAAAAAAACCCAAAAAACTAATCTAACCCTGGATCTAGGATTTTTCACGGGCAGAGTCTCAGCTCCTGCAGTTCTGGAATGGTTCAAGAAAACTGCTTGCAATTGAACAGACACACAGAACTGTCCGTACAGAAATCTGGCGTTTTGTAGCCACTTTGCCCATGATCGAAATGACCAAATGCTTCAACAGTGAACTTTTTTCCCCCTCACTCGGTGTTGTGTTGAAAAACGTGGCTTAGTTAACTAGTTAAACCCACAACCATCCCTGAGAATGCTTACTGACGATGGACTATTAATTAAGGGGCAAATTTGCAAGTTCCTTTCCCCCTAAATAAATGGGGGGGGGAACTATTTGGCCTCAATTTCTATTTGCCGTTTCGGTAGAAAAACACAATAGTGGTAAGCTCCCATTAGTAAGGTACCCTTGTTTCACTGATTATGCAAAGACAGTTACTTCCACTTAAAAAAAAAAAAAAAACAACCATTAGAGTCACTACATCTGGCCAAGAAATATTTTTCAGCTGTTAGCAGGAATTGTTACACGCTCAAAAAAACCAGAGCCATCGCTTTAAAATAGAAAACCTCCAATATCCAAGGTCTACAAGCAGGAAGTTCTTATTGACCACAAAATGACAGGATCACATCCTGCCACTATTCTCGAGCTACCTTTGGTCGCCTAGTTCCTGGATAAGAAACCCAAATGCCCTCAACACACACACAACACACACAGAAAAAAAATCAACGGGGTGAACCAATGTTTGTGATGAAACCTTCTTTTCTCTTGGCATGCATTTCAAATCCTCCACTGTTTCTGTGACTTGGGTTTAAAGGGACGCTTTTTGTTTCTTTGTTAAATAAGTCATAGAACAAATAAAATCAAATAACCATTTCTTTTAAAATAGGTCCAACTGGCAGCTTGCTACATTAGTAAGTAGCGGATTTGGGAGTAGAAAAAGCTATGCCTGATCAGTTCAGATTAGACTTTATGGGGAGTAAAAGAGCAGTTGACCCATAATGCATAATAGGATAAGTACATCTATTAGGAGATCGACATTAGGAACAATTTTTCTTCCAATTTTCCATATTGAAATAGGACTGTAGCCCATATTTCCTCAAGAATAAGTTGGGGGGCTTTAAAGGAACAAAATGTGGTTGTGAAATGATCTAGATCAGTGTTTTTCAATCTTAAGTCACTTTAAGATGAGTGGACTTCAACTCCAGCTAGCATAGCAAAACTGGCTGGGGAATTCTGGAAGCTGAAGTCCACTCATCTTAAAGTGGCTAAGGTTGAGAAATGCTGATCTAAAAACTTGCAAACTATCAGTTAGCATGTAACTGTTTTTCATTTGCTGTAACAGGAATTTTTGTAGTACTGTAAGAGCTTGCTACGTTTTCCACAAAACATTCCAAAATCTGGGACTGCTTGCTTTGAGAAGTTACTAAGTGGAAAAAGGATGGGAGTAAAGTATTGTCCCACTTAATAAACCTCCAGCAGCTTTTGGGGGGTTTGGGAAGACGGGGGAAGAGGGGTGATGGCTTTCCCTACTGTTGGCTTTGCACGAACCTGAAACCATAATCAAAACCAACCGAGAAGACGGCGTTGGCTGAACCCTCTGGAGTCAACTGGGAGATTCACATCTGACTGCTCCAAGTGGTAGCTAAGGAAGAGCAATGCTAGCAGCTTCCTATAATGGGTTTTGCGTGAAGCGTCAAATGTTAGAACGCAAGGATGTCGTGACAACCAAATTGGGAAGGGGGAAAAAAAAAACACACACACATCATACCAAGGTTCTCTTCCTATTTTGCAGCCTGTTAGTATGAACATACTAACTTTCTTCTTCTTCTTTTAAACGCGATAGGAAACCAAAATAAATATATATCCTATTGATTTGGCAAATACCATGACGGGGGGGGAAAAAACCAGAAATTTTATTTGTTTCCATTAATTACATTTAAGATTCTAAGTTGCAGCTTTGTTTTAAATCTAGTATCTTTAGATTTCTTAAGCATACTTAAGTGATGTTACAGAGATACGTGTTTCTGAAATAACCCTCCCGCCCCCGCCCCCAAAAAGAACCCCCGTTATGAGTCACTTAGTAAATAGGCACCACCAACAGTAGAGTCGGGGATTCAGCTTATCCAGTACAGAATGATTTTGCTGTCACCAGTTTAAGTGCCCCTAATTCAACCAACCGGCTTCTGCCTTCTTAGGTCTGATGTGACCAATGCCAGCCCAAATTCTTAAACCTATGGTACTTCTAGACAACGTATGTAAATTTACAGTATACAATTTGGATTCACCATGCATGAATACTTTGTGTGTAACATTTAATAAGCTCAATCTACATCCAGAATAATTTACATGAAAGGACAATATTTATTTTAAACAGAGCTCAATGGGTAACCATGGTATCCGAGTGCATCCAGAGGGAGAGGGAGGGGAGGGAGGGGGGTCAGATGTAAATCCAATCAACGGCACTCCCAGACTTTTACTGTTTGATCTACGCTGCCGGTGACCACATAGGGCGCTGTCTTGTGGAAATCTGCAAGGAAGAAGGGGAAAAAGAAAAGGGAGAGAAAAAAAAAGCTAGTATGCATAGGGTAATTCTACTGAAATTTAAAAGATTATGAACTGATATCACTTGGACTGTGATCCAATTGCTTAGTGCATTGTGAGCGCATTGTAAGCCACCCTGAGTCTCCGGAGAAGGGCGGCATATAAATCAAATTTAAAAACAAAAAACAAAAAAAACAAACAAAACGCCTCATATCTGCATGACATTAGGATTAGGTCAGGCAATTTAAAAAAAAAAAAGACTACTGAATAAAATGAAATGTCATTTCTTTTATAAAACATTAATCAATATTTAATTAAATTAATAACAAGTAACATCCTAAAGCAGGGGTCTCCAACCTTGGCAACTTTAAGACTTGTGGACTTCAACTCCCAGAATTCCTCAGCCAGCTTTGCTGACTGAGGAATTCTGGGAGTTGAAGTCCACAAGTCTTAAAGTTGCCAAGGTTGGAGACCCCTGTCTTAAAGCAAGCTGGCTGTGTAATTCTGGGAGCTGAAGTCCACATATCTTAAAAGGTTGAGGAACTATCCCAGAGATGTATGTCTATGGAGGTGCTCAGTTATCCAGGTCATGGTTGTCCCGAAGGTGCTTTTTCAAGAGGCGACTGGATTTTTTGGTTTTTCTTTGAAGGCGTTTCGTTTCTCATCCAAGAAGCTTCTCCAGCTCTGACTGGATGGTGGGGAATGGAAGGATTTATATTCCATTTATAACTATAATGAAGAGGCTTCTTGGATGAGAAGCGAAAAGCCTTCAAAGAAAAACCAGAAAGTCCAGTCGCCTCTTGAAAAAGCACCTTTGGGTGTCCCAGAGATGGCATTTCTTCACTGTTCTTCACTTCCAGGTTTACAGAGATTTGAAGTCAATCCATTAAGGTGGAGGCCATGGCCTTACCAATAAAGTAAGGTTTAGACGCTCCGTTCAAATTTAGTTAAACAAGAACAAGTGAGAATGCAGGCATCTTCTGTTTTAAGTTTTGATAAGCGCTTACAAGTATAGCCAGCCGCATACAGGCTGAAGAACAGTTTTTATCCGTGGGCTGTCAGACTCCTGAATGAGAAATAACATCATAACAACGTAGTATGATGGACTGCAGGGCCGGCGCAATGTGTAACATGTTCACACTGGTGCAGTAGGACTGGGTGTTTTGTTAATATGATTTATTGGGTTAGGGATTTTCTGTCTTCACTGTGAGTCGTATTGTGTTGGGGTGCACTGAGGGAGGTCAACCAATCTCATTGGACATACGTTGCGCGCTGACAATAAAGATTTGAAATTTGAGATACAAGCTCTGTGGTGGACCCTAAGCAATTGTAAGGTTCTTTGGATTGCAGACGCTACTGCCAAGTTATGTATCAAATGCTACAAATCAAACAAATGGCACATGAGACCCACAAGGCTGATGCTAATGCAAGTTTCTTTCTTCCTATCATGGTTCCCAACAGTTAGCATTCCTTTTCTGAAGCAACAGATAAAGAAATGCTTCCTCCCAGGAACTTTCCCTTCCAGCCTTAAGACTTCTGGAGATGAAACACCAGTCTGCCATATGTACGGTATTCCAAGAATGCTATGGGCAGAGCAAGTACCAGATTGCAGAGTAACAAGGGTTGCAAGGGACCTCGGAGGTCTTCTAATCCAACCCCCTGCTCAAGCAGGAGACCCTATTCCAGGGGTGTCAAACTCGATTTCATTGAGGGCCGCATCAGGGTTGTGTTTGACCTTGGTAGGCCAGGGTGGGCATGGCCAGCTCAACATCACTGATGTCGGGGGCGCCTGTGGTAGCCCAAGCGCTCTTCCAGCCAAATGGGCTCCTGAGCTCTGTTTTCAGCTGCGACGGCCTCCTGCAACCCTCTACCAGCGAAAACAGAATTCAGGAGGACCGCACGTTTTCGCTGGCAGAGGCACTGCAAGCCGATCCTTCGCTGTTTCCTGGGCAGCCCCGCAGGCCAAATCTAAGCATTCCACGGGCCACATCCGGCCCCCGGGCCTTGAGTTTGGCACCCCTGCGCTGTACCATTTCAGACAAATGCTTGTCCAATCTCTTCTAAGAAACCTCCAGTGTTGGGGCATCAATTGATCCAGGGGGGAAAAATGAAGCTCAAACCCTTTGGCCACCAAATGAGAAGAGAGGACTCACTGAAAAAGATCTTGATGTTGGGAAAGATGGAAGGCAAAAGAAGAAGGGGACAGTGGAGGATGAGATGGTTAGACAGCGTGACTCGACGCAGTGGGCACAGATCTGGGCAGACTCGAGGAAGACAGCGTAGGACAGGGGAGCCTGGCATGCTATGGCCCATGGGCTCGCCAAGTCGGACACAATTTAGCGATGGAACAACAACAACTAGGGGGGAAAAAATAAAGGCTGTTCTCCTGAGATGATGATCAGCAAGAGCAACTCCCTCTATGAGCATACAGAATGAGCTGAGGTAAAATGACTGTCAAGATAAGCAAAAAGGAGGGAGGGGTGGGAACCTGTGTTTAATAGGTATGGAGATGATTAAAGAAATAACTGGAATTTCCTTGCACCAGCGACAGATTACAGGTAGTCCTCGACTTACAACCACAATTCAGCCCAACATTTCTGTGGTTAAGTAAAAACACTGGTTAAGTGAATGTTGCCCTGTTTTACGACCTTTCTCGCTACAGTTGTTAAGCAAATTACTACAGTTGTTAAGTTAGTATCAATGCCTGTTAAGTGAACCCGGCCTCCTCATTGACTTTACTTATCAGAAGGTCACAAAAGGGGGATCATGTGACCCTGGGACCCTGCAACCGTTATAAATATGAGTCGGTCGCCCGGTGGCTGAATTTTGATCATGTGACTGTAAAAAACGACCTTAAGTCACTTTTTTTCAGTGCCGTTTAACTTTGAACAGTCACTAAATGAACTGTTGTAAGTCGAGGACTACCTGTACTGAGGGAGGCAAGTTGACTCGATGGGCTATTTGTTGATGCATTTGCCATGAGTCAATCAAATGACTGTTATTTGGTTGAGGTGTGATGGGTTCAATGTACAAGCCCAGCTCCCAGTCACGGAGGAAGGCTAGTGGCACACGCTACCAGCACACTTAATGCATATACATACCCAACGAGGTAACAAAATGTTCATGCGCGTTAAGAGTCTTCATGCATCTTTTGTTCTTGTAGTCCCAGACACGCAAGGTCTTGTCATCGGCACAGCTCAAAATAAATTTACCACCAGAGTGGAACAGGACACCACGTACCCAGTTATCATGGCCCACCTTTTAAGTGAAAATAGAAAAAGCCCAAAGTCACATGAAGATCACAGATGGGATATCTGGATAGGAAGAACACAAATCTGATTCCAGAGTTCAAACCATGTTGCTCCTTGCCCCCAAATTGGCTCTAGGCTAGAATTAACAGCATGTTGAGTTTCTTGGGTGGAAATGGTAACCTGTTTTTCTGTTCTTCCTTCAAGCTCTCCCAATTCTATTTATTCTGATGTGTGCAGTTGGATTCCTCAGAGAACGCCTGAGCTCACCCCGTAAGAAGCACAAATCTATTCCCTCATGTAGCAACTAGGCAGAGTTGCAAAGCAGATGAACAGAGAAAAGGATATTCAGGGAACTTACAAGGGTCATAAGGCACATGCCAGTACTAATGTCCCACATCTTAATGGTCTTGTCTCTAGATCCAGAAAGCAGGAAAGGCCCAGGCTTACCACTCTTCTTAGTCTACAGGGGTAGGAAAAAAAAGAGAGAAATAATCTGTAAAAATTAAGATAATTCTGTATGAAGAAGTAAGTAAACAATGTGGAGACTTATGTGCAGCTCGAAATATTTTCCCTTTTGAGATATCCAGAATGAATACAACCTGAATGCAGGAACAGCAAACTGTCTCCCAACAGATATGCACACAAACCTTTGAGTAAGACAACATTGCTCTAATGTGCCCTAAATTAGATGTCATTGCAGCTTATGTTGAAAGCATAAGGACGTTCTTTGGTGAGAATTGATAGCATTCATTCAATTACTGCAATCACAGAAAAGGGGCAAAAGGCCAGGCTAACTTCGTATGTTCTACATCCTTGCCCATCATGGCTGCCAGGATCCAGCAGAGATGGTTGGGTTGGATTGGACTGGCCTCAGCAGATGTAAATATGCCTTTTGCTTGTCTGAATGTATTATTACATAAACCGTAAACTGATTACCTTGAAGTGACACAAAAATGTGTGTGTGTGTGTCTGAGAGAGAGGGAGGGAGGGAGGGAGAGGGGGAACAAGAGAGTGAGAACAAGAGAGAGAGGGAATGAAAGAGGGAACAATAAAGGGAGAGAGGAGAGAGAGAGAGGGAGAGAGAGAGAGAGAACAAGAGAGGGAACAAGAGAGGGAACAAGAGAGAGAGAACGAGAGAGAAAGCAGGTGACTACACACAACCTACAGTCTTAATTTTCTTGAGATTTTACCTCAGCAATTTTTGGCACCGCTGACCATGAAACTTTACTACAACAGCTCAGAGAGTTAGGAAATATAGATCTGGTTCATGGAAGTTTTATTCCTATGTGCAGGACCCTCCTCAGAGAGTTTCTAATGGGAGATTTCGCTTGAGTTGTCTATCCACAACCACTGGAAGTGACTGTCTGGAGATTGTGTCATCACCATGAGATTCAAGTCTTTTCTAATGAATCTTGTACCTTTCTAAACCAGAGATCAGAGGGTTTCAGACCCAGGGATTAGGAAAATGTTCTCTATGGCAGAAGTGTTCTCTATCGCTTCTTCCAAAGGAAGACATGCATAACTGGGTGCTTTCCTTGACTTTAATCTGTCACTAGAAGGAGTTTTGCCCTCCATGGTAAGGAGAATCTACATCAAGCTTCAGTGCTCAAGATATAGAATGCCTGGATCGAATAATTGCCTGTTATTTTGCTTTTCTGTTTTATTGAATGGAATTTTGTTCTTTTTTTATCTTTGCTATGTTCATTGTTGTTTTTTTCATGATGGTTGCATGTAGGACTTTCTTATTATTCGCTTGTAAACTGCTCAAGGCTCCTCTGGGAGGAACAGAGGCAGAGAAATAAAATAAAAAACAACAGAGCTACTTAAGGTTCAACCAATGAACACAAATCATCAATTCGGGGGGAAAAAAACCAACCCAGCAAATCTGTCCAATTTAACAAAATATGGCTCCATTGTAAACTTCTGTGGAGAGTTCCCCCCCCCCCTTTTTTTTTTTTTACTTAATGAACTGATAACTCTGTCTTTATTGATTGGGGGTTGTTTTCATTAACAGAGAAGACCTGCTGAGGAAAATGATTCTAGAACTGAGAGGAAGATGGTTTGAAGATGTCTCACAGCCACACTAGATATTATAATTTTGCCAGTGTAAGAATTGCTGTATTTGGGAGTTTTGCCTTCCAATTAGTGGAAGAACCTGACCTGAATAACTCCAGAGTCCCAAAAATAAACAGAATGTAGTAATTCACTCCATGTTTTCTCATCAAGTATGATATAATCCTTGACTCTGGTGTCCTCAGGTGGGTTAGATCCACAACACGCAAAATATCTGACAGCATGATGTTGAGAGGATTTTCCATTTCTCTTCAAATATATCTTTCTCCCTTCAGTTTTTTAACATCCAACTTGAAGAGTTGTGGTCAATTTTAGGGTAACTACTTGGGGATTTCTTTTCAGCTGATCTATGTCTATGATGTCTGAGCAGAGCGGTTCCTCTGCTCAGACGTAAGGGTGAAGGTATCATTTGTATCATCTTCCATTCATCAATGGTAAGACCTCCTGAATTTGCCTCCTTTTCTCCTATCCTCAAGGATCCATTTCATTTAGAGCAGGGGTGTCAAACTCGATTTTATTGAGGGCCGCATCAGGGTTGTGTTTAACCTTGGTGGGCCAGGGTGGGCGTGACCAGCTCGACGTCACTCGTGTCAGGAGCGCCTGTGGTGGCCCAAGCACTCTGCCAGCGAAAACAAGCTCCTGAGCTCCGTTTCTGTCTGCGACGGCCTCCTGCAACCCTCTTCCTTGTGGCGCGGCCCGCCCGAGCTCCGTTTTCACTGGCCGAGGGTTGCAGGAGGCTGTAGCAGCCAGAAACAGAGCTCGGGCGCCCATTTTCGCTGGCAGAGGCACCGCAGGCCGGTCCTTCATTGTTTCCAGGCCAGTCCTGTGAGCCAGATTTAAGCACCCCGCGGGCCGAATCCGTCCCGTGGGCCTTGAGTTTGACACCCCGATTTAGAGGTTCACAATAACCGATTAAGAGGCGTCTAAGATAACATGTAGAAATCCAGAATAAATAGGACATGAAACATTAAAGACACTTAAGTAGCAACCAGGTCATTATCGTTGGCATGCTGGAGAAGGCCTGGGGCACCTTATCATATGATTTATTCTTAAACGTCAGAGATAAAAACAGAACTTCAGACAGAAGGCTACTTTTTAAAATCAGCCTTCCACAAGTTGGGTTCCCTGCAGAAATGTTTGCAATGCTAACTGGGAATTTTTCAAAGGAGAGTCTCAAACTAGAGGATCCACCCTGGGGAAGGCTGATTTACATTCAGCCAAAATATGAGCTTTGCTATAACATTAAGTTCTCTGCCCCCCCCCCCCCTCGTGACTGTTGGGCCCTCTTAAAAGCAAAGCTGGAATAAGGTCTTAGTAAACAGATATTGGGAATCTAACATTTTCTTCAGCCCTGGAGGCTGTTGGTTATCATTCCAGAATTGAGCCAGCACAGGCCTTGGGAAAATAAATAAGGTCAGCTGAGAGAAATGACCACAATAGGAATGCATGGATATCCTTTTTTAGAGATTGAAAAAGTTTCAATCCTGATCACAATAAAAGCAAACTGGTGGTAATCCTTTTATGCTGCCATCCTAAATTTTTAAACAAAGGAAAATCTAATAAATGACCCAAAAGTGCTTTTCTAAAAGGCAACCGGACTTCCTTGGTTTTTCTCCTTCAAAACATTTTGCCTCTCATCCAAGAAGCTTCTTCAGTTTGGTGTTTTGGAAAAGCACCTTTGGGACAATGACCTGGATGATTGAGAATCTCCACAGTCATTTAAGTAAATGAATTTTCGCAGAGGAGCTGGCATGGATAGGAATTGAACCCAGAAGCCTCCTCTGCGTGGCTTGCCCCCTGAGGAGAAGGAAGGAAGGAAGGAAGGAAGGAAGGAAGGAAGGAAGGAAGGAAGGAAGGAAGGAAGGAAGGAAGGAAGGAAGGAAGGAAGGAAGGATGGTGATGGTACTATAGGATGACTTAGGATGGTGAGAGATGCATTACAAAAATGAACTTCACCCACTGCTTACATCTACTGTAGAAAATGCACTGCAATGCAGTTATGGTTCCCTAGGAGTGTAGTCAGATTTCCAGGCCAAGCAGCAATTAACCCAAAATTTACTAATGTGGCCAGTTATTGCTACATTTACCCACTTTAACCATATCCACAAGAGTCAGTTGCCTGAGATGGGCGGCTGTTGAAATCAAACAAACAAACAAATAAAACCCCACCCTTTTGGTCCTTCTTCCACTAAGCTCTTTGCCTTCATGCCCTATTAAGTGCGAGGCTGGGGCTACCATAATGTGGTTTATTCACTTTGAAGCAACAATGGGCTCCCTTGCACTGACTGGAAAGCAAAATGAAGAGCTTCTGCCGACATGGGGAGTGTAGGTCATTTATTTTATGATTCTGAGCCTCGTCCTTAAGGCCCTTAGTATGCTATGGCCAGAGGGCCTACTCAGAATCTCCTTAGAGGCATTCCATTCCATTTTATTTATGCTTCACTGAAATGCTAAGCTAAAAACCAAAAGACAGATAGTGTTAACAATCCCTCTGCTGCCCAAATGACCAACTATCACTGTTCTATATTTGAATTTAGTCATTTACTATCTTTATAATTTTAATTGTTGAGTCCAAGAAAGAAGACAGACAGACTATGGCATAATTCATATAGCTTTTATAGGTGGTGACAAGTTTGTTTGTTTGTTTGTTTGTTTCTGGGGGTCTTGTGCCTATTTTGTTAACCATGGGCTATGGTTGAAAGTAGGGAATTACAAATGATTTTGAATAAACACTGATACCACCCCATTTTTTTCTACAGAAGAAAATAATGAAAATGAAAAAAATTCCATCACTTACCTTACTTAAAGCAATAGCAATCTCCCAAAGTAGCAGGATTGTGTCCAGTTTTCCCCAGTTTGATGCTATTTATTCCCTTAAATCAGAGGTGGGGAACTATGGCCTCTTTATGACTTATGGACTTCAATTCCCAGCATGGCTGGCTCAGGAATTCTGGGAGTTAAAGTCCACAAGTCATAAATGAATAATATTTCCCCATTCCTGCTCTAAATGTTTTAGACCTACAGCTTCCACAATTCCTCAATGAGATTATACAATTATATTCTAATGCATCATAGTACAGGTAGTCCTCAATTTATGACCATTTGCTTAACAAAGGTTTAAAGTTACAACAGTCTAGAAAAAGTGATTCCTGATTCGTCCTCAAAGTTACAACTGTCAACACTATTGTGTTTGCAATTTGGTTGCTTGGCAACCGGCTTACATTTACGACAGTTGCAGCATCTTGAGGTCATGTGATCATGATCTGCAACCTTCCCAGCTGGCTTCCAACAAAGCAAAGTCAATTTGGAAAGCTGGATTCACTTAACTGGTATGCAATTCACTTAATGACCACATGATTTGTTTAATGGCCACGGTAACAGTGGTAGTAAAATCAGGTCTGGTCATATAATCACTCATTCTATGACTGCACCAACGTATAAGAGAAATTCCAGTTCCAGTTAGGGTCTTAAGTCAAGGACTACCTGTATGATTCACAAAAATGTATTCAGACAATTTGATATCACACAATCCTGCTTGCAATGGAAAACCTTTACCATATAACATAACATAACATAACATAACAGAACAGAACAGAACAGAACAGAACAGAACAGAACAGAACAGAACTTACTTTATTGGCCAAGTATGATTGGACGCATAAGGAATTTGTCTCTGGTGCATAAGCTCACGGTGTACATATAAACAACAAGTCATAGGTCATAGTCATAAAGAGAATATAAAGAAGATTTCCCTTGGAATAAAATCCAAAGCACGTCAAATTCTCAAGTGGAAAAGTTTGCCAAACCAGTATGGATGTTTCTCTAAGAGGAATCCCTTACCTCAGATCCTGTAGCTTCCAATACGGTGGAATAAGAGCTCTCGGGAGCCCAGGAAATACACTCTACTACATGCTCATGTTCTCTAAGTTCAGCTTTGCACTCCTTTGTTGCTACCACCCAGACACGCACGGTCTGGTCATTAGAACAGCTGGCAATCAGCGTGCCATCCTGGTTAGGCCGTACCATGCGGACCCATTCTCGATGCCCCGTGAAAGTCTTCACACAGTAGCTGTTCACAGGAAAGAAAACATGTCTCATCAATACAAGATTGCTACAGAAAATGGAACCAATAAAACAGATGGTCTGAGAACAATTCAGGTGACTGCAGGATTTTTTTTTCAAGAGCTAACCTGTAGTCTTGCCAACTTAAGTTTAGAAATTATTGTTATTAAACTGGGTTGGGAAGACTACAGGAATTTTGAATAAGCAGGCAACAAGGCAGAGGGAGGGGAGAGAAGTTACAAGAAATAAAGATCTGAGTAGGGACATAAAATGGTGTCAGAGGTTTTCCAGATAGCCACCAATATCAGACCAATCCTACAGAAAGTATCCAAAACCCGACACTGAAGAAAGGCAGGAAAACTGAGATCACTTTCCTTGCATGTCTAAAGAAATGTATGTATCACACTTCCCGTGTTCCTGGGCTACAGCATATGAGACAAATCAAAAGAAACTAGGCTTACATAAGACAAATACAAAGTTGTTAAATCGGTGTTGAGTAACCTAGCAACGCAGGTTGAAGCCAACACCTGGTTGTTGTGCGGAATGCCAAGGGCCATATTTTAAAATTGAGACACGCAGGATGAAGTACAAAGCCAAGTGATTTCAATGTTAAGATGAATTAACACGAACACTCTCCGTTACATTGGATGCTTTTTCTCTCCGATTTACAAAGTACAAGGTTTTCAGACATCACATTAAATCAATACGTTTTTCACCCATGAACAGAATTTCAGTATCACAGTGGCTTTAGGAGGGAAAAAAAAAAGGGGGGGGGGAGAAATGTCACCATACAAGCCCAGAGCTTCATAGAGACAACTTGTCTTTATTTCTCACTTGTTCATCTCTGTGCTAAAATGTAATAGCCACACTGGCTACGGATACTGGTCTCGTCCTAGTAAATAACCTTCTGCTTAAGGGGAAATAATACAGCAGGAATCCATGTTATGAAACATTGGAAAGGGTGTGGCCAAAGGTGAGTGTACAGTATGTTGTCTCCAGGAACAAACAGAGACCCTGTGTGTGGTATTACACAATCAATATGGAAGTTTGTATTGGCAAAGAAAATACTTTGCCTTCCGATATTCCAGGAGAACCAGGAAAGCCATGAACAAGTTGGCACATATTTTAAATAGACTTGGTTGTGTTGTGGCCTAACCCACCACAGGTCAGTCATGTGTTGATGGTCATCATCTACTAATTGAGCAACCAAAGAAAACTCCGAATTTTCCTCTGATGAACAGCTTTGTTGGTTCTGCATCAGACTGGTCTTCCCAATTACCTGCCTCTTGATCCTGTTAATTTAAGAGACGCTAAGAATTCAATCTGAGTTTTTCTTTATGAAATGCCATTTTTCCACTACCAAGCCCATGGTTCCTCTACAACGTTCATCTCATTTCCAAAAAGGCATGTCTAAAGATGCATAGTTTCACCTTCATATAAATGTATCTGCAAGCTCTTACCCTGTTTGAATTTCCCACATTTTGATGGTTTTATCCCTCGAAGCAGATACTATATAATCCCCATTGGGCATGATGGCTACTGAAGAAACATTATGATCATGTCCTAGAGGGGGGGGGAAAAAAAAGAAAGCACAGATTATGTTCCCTCGTGACTTTATCGCAATGTATGTGAATACTGTTATTAAATTCACCCCTTCACACAATTCTGTATGGCACCCAAGTGTCAAACTGGGTGCCCTCCAGATGTGCCAGTTTATAACTGCCATCAATCTCAGTCAGAATGCTGCCATATGGTAATCCTCAAGAGTCAAACAAGATGGGATGCTGAAAAAAAAGCACATATTTTGCAATTGCCTGGCTATCATATAGAATGATTTGTTGCACAGCTTCTGAGGAATAATTGTGGTATGCTAATTAAACCTCAAGAATACACATTTTCACCTAAGGTACTCTGAGCAAGGAGCCACATCCCTTGCGGCTGTAACCTTGCAGATATTGAAAGAATCTGGAAATAGCAAGGGAATGGCTTTGTGCCAGAATCCCCAAGTATTTTAAATCAAAGAAAGATTGCTATAGAAATTTTTAAAAAAAGGAGAAGTGGCATCCTTGATTTCAGGCAACCTATTAAAAAAAACCCTTGTTTTTTTCCCCCAGTCCTCAAGACCATCTATTCTTTGACTCTGTAATCAAAGCTACGTCATCTGAATGGGTGCCAGGGAGGATGGTTGTATTTTTTTTTTAATAGCAAAAATTGATTGTCACATTCAGAAAAGGTCACTGCAGAACTGAAAGGGAGGCTGAAAGGGGGAAGCTGAATAATCACCGGCTGGCAACCGGTGGACACAGCACTGAGGACACAGCACTGCAGACTTTTAACGTGGGAAGGAAGATTACTGAAATACAAAAAATTATGCATGGCGCTAAAAGTTATTGGCATTTTCTAAGCTTGGGGGGGGAAGGGGGTTTCCCCTGAAGACATTTAATTATCAGGCTAGGTCCGTGATGGCGAACCTATGACACGGGTGCCACAGGTGGCACGCGGAGCTGTATCTGTGGGCACGTGAGTGTTGCCCTACTCAGCTCCAGCGCTCATATGCCCACCGGCCAGCTAATTTTCGGGCCTTCCGGGCCCAGCTGAAGTCGGGAAATGGGCTGTTTCCAACCTCTGGAGGGCCTCCCAGGTGGGGGAGGGAAGGCCGTTTTTGCCCTCCCCAGGCTCCAAGAAAGACCCTACCGGGCCCACCGGGCCATCATGTGCCAAAAGTGGGGGTAGCGCGGGGGGTCAGGTGCGCATGTGCGGAGGGTGGGGCACATTGAATTATGGGTATGGGCACATGCATGCGCGAACCCCCCGCATGATCTCCACTTTTGGCACACGACAGCCAAAAGGTTAGCCATCACTGGGCTAGATAATATCATTAGTGCATAGAAGAGAGAAATCTTAGCAGTTGCTCATGCTGACTAAGGCTGGCAGGAATTTGGAGGGTAACAGTCTCCAGTTTTCACTCACTAATCCCGAGAGGAAGTTTGTAGATATGAGCCACCATTTTTAGCTGCTCTTTTTGAAAAGTAGCAAACATTTTCTGCCTCTAGGCTAGAAACACTGCTACTCAACTTCTTCCAGAAGCCATAAACTTGTTTTCAGAAACATGTTCTGCCTACTGGGGCTCTTTAAAGACACAGTCAGGAAGCAAAAAAAAAAAAATCTCTGAATGCCTCTCAGTTCTGAAATGGAGAACAGGCAAGTTTTTGATTCAAAGAATTGAAGAGAGAAACAATTTCTTTGCTTTTGAATACATCACAATAGCAAAAATGAACCAAAATGGAGGCTTCCCGTGGCGACCGAGTTGCAATGGCATCATATAGTAAACAAACAGTAAGCCTTTTGCGCCCACTCAATGTATTATATTGCACGAAACCTGTAACATTTTAATACTAGTAGAGTGCAGCGAAGTTAAATTGTAAACAGCCAGTAGTAAGAAACGAAATACATCGGGCAACATAGCAGATTAAAGACAAAAATGGTTAACATATGTGTGAACTGGATCACAGCACTTCCAGGGCTTTGAGTCATGTCTCCCCATGTTGTGGTTCACCCTAGAAAACAACCTGCTAATATACTAGAATGGAGATTAGGATAAAACTATGGCGTTCATGCAGTGGTGGGATTCAGCCGGTTCGGGCAAACCGGTTGTTAAATTGCTGGCTGGCGCCACCCCTACCCCCGCCCCTTCCAGGAGTCTCCATGCGCCCCATTTTGGCTCCCAGGAGGCTGCAGGGAGGCCTTCTAGGCCCAAAGCGGGGCACGGCATGGGCCCCCCACAACCCGTTTTTGCTCCCAGGAGGCTGCAGGAAGGCCTACTAGGACCAAAACAGGGGGGTGAGGTGCCCCCCCCCCCCACGGCCCGTTTTTGCTCCCAGGGAAATGCAGGAGGCCGAGTGCTGTCTGTCACACCCCTGGCCAAGCCCACCATGGCCATGCCCACCCAGCCGGTCATTAGGTCAGAGAACCGGTTGTTAAATTATTTGAATCCCACCACTTCATTCACGTGAAGGAGATACTACTGCGTGGAAAAGCTTTTAAGGATATGAGTTCTCCTACCTGCTGCACAAAACGCTCCAATGCATGGGTATCAAGCTGTATATAAGAACTAAGCCTTGGGACGAATATCTTGAATGTGATGTCTTCTTGTTCACAACGTCATCAGAAGAGAGAAGAGGTATAACCTAGTTTTTTAATTTCATCTTACTATGGCTAATGGTTTTTTTAAACAATGCCTTACCATGCATGGTTCTGATGCACTCAAAGCCTTGGAAATCCCATAGCTTAATGGTCATATCTGCAGAACAAGAGGCCAGTAGCTTGCCACTATGGTCGAAGGAAATATCCTGCACAGAATCTGTGTGGCCTTTCAGGGTGCGTTCAAAATCACCTGTCTCATAATCCCATACCTAGGAATTAGACAAAGAAATTGGTAAATATGTATTTCCAACAAACTATTTTGTTCCCCGCATTTGCTTCAAAAGTATAGGTAGCCCTCGACTTACAACCATTCGTTTAGTGACCATTCAAAGTTACAATGACACTGAAAAAGGGAATTTATGACCATTTTTCACATTACTGACGGTTGCAGCATCCCCATGGTCAGATGATCAACATCTGGATGCTCGGCAACTGGTTGATATTTTTGATGGTTGCAGTGTCCTGGGGTCATGTGATTGTTTTTGGGACCTTCTGACACGCAAAGTCAATAGGGAACCAAATTCACTTAACAACTGTGTTTCTAACTTAACACTTTCAGTGATTCGCCGAACAACTGTAGCAACAAAGGCCATACAATGGCGAAAAACTCACTTAGCAACAGAAATTTTGGACTCAATTGTTGTCAGAAGTCAAGGATTATAGTAACCTTTTAAAATATTATTTTAATACCATTTGTTAATCAATGTGTATACCATCTCAATCATGAAAAGATTCTAAATACAGTATCATCAAGTAAATAAATAGAAGTAACAAAGGGACAAAATTAAGATTAAAACAAATGGCGCACCTCAAGGAAGGCAACTAAACAAACATACTGGCAATGAACCAGCAACAGGAACATACTGCTTATACTGTATACCAAGCCTGTCAAAAAGCCATTATTTATGGCTTTATAAACGCCCAACAGAGTTATAGCTACTTAGATACCTGCATTTTGAACCACTTGTAGCTTGGTCAAGGGTAGTCCCTAGTACAACATGTTGCAACGGTCCATATAGGTAGGTGGGTACTAAGGCATGAGTGACTGCAAGAGGGCTTCCTAGTTAAGTAGGCAGTAATATAAATGTGAGAAATAAATAAAAAGGGATATGATTGGTACAGAAGATGAATGTATGCAAAGGCCCACCTTGTCATGGCTGCCCTTTCCTCATAGAGCTGGAGACAAAAGTCGGGAAGAACCACCAAAACTGCATACCAGTTCTTTCCCGGACAATGTAAATCCCTTCTAGAACTGAAGATGGCAAAATAACAGTGACTGGCAGGTCCCTGAAACCCAGGCTATCCAGTCTTCCTAGAGTTCAGCCCAAGCTTCTCACCCACAGCCATAACCAGACACTAGGACAGGGCTTCTACAGCATTGCTTATTTGGCTAAGGACCAAGATATAGAACTGGGTATGATTGGCATACTGATGGAACCAAATCCCATGCCAGCAGATAACTTCACCCAGTGGTTTCAGGCAGATGCTGAATAAAAATGGAGAGAGTGTCGAATTCTGTGGGATCTCAAAAAACAAACGCCTTGGATCTTTTCCAAAGAGCAAAGCCCTGGATTTTTCCCCCCTCCGAATAACACCAATTAGAAACTTGCCCAAAGGAAGGAGAAACACAACAAAATAGAGCCATTCCCTGAAATATCCAGAGACCATCCAGAAGGACACCATAACCCAGGAGTGTCAAATTGGCGGCCCGCAGCCAGATGAGTCACATGCAGGCCACGCCCATTCCAGTTCCGCGAAGGGGGGGGAAACACTGTGATACATCACAATGTAACATACATGTAACATCAACATGACATGGCAAGTTTGACACCCGTGTCATAATCAATAGTATCAAATGCTACGGAAAGATCAAGCAGGACCACTCTTGGACACCCCCACCAAAAATCATATATGCAGACTTAGATAATTCACTTCTTCCAGAGTTCTTTGGAGTTATTGCATAAAATGCGTACCACATTCTCCATAATCTTCCCCCAAAAGGAAAGACTGGAAACAGATAAAAAGAAATTCCACCAATGCTAGGTCAAGTGATGGTTTCTTGAGGAGAGAGTAGATCACGGCTTCCTAGTAAGCCAAGCAGCCAACTCAAGGATGAATTAGCCAACACCTGAAGCCAATAGTTGGTCACTTCTCACAGGGTCTTAAATTTATCAGGAGGGACAAGGATCTAATACGCAGGTGACAATGCTGACATCCCCCAAAACTCCAACCAGTTCCTCGAAATTTAATAGTAGGGAGAAGATACTTTTTGGTAGAAAAAAAGAGGGACACTAAAATATGCTTAAAAAGGTTAACAACTTCTCAAGTTAGATTTAGGTTTATTCCCCAAGAATTAAAAGCAACTCGTTGTTTGCAAGCAATACTGCATATATGAGAGAATAAATATTTAGTGCTGCTATTCCATTTTGGCATGTCAATTCACACACGTGCATTTTGCAGGAACATACGAGATTCCCGTCACCTCCAAAAGCAGAGAAACACCGTCAGCTAAAAATATAAATGGTTGAATCTCTATAGCGCACGTAAGAAGCAAAAAAAGAGGCAGTTTCCTGTCATGATGTTTTTACCCAGAGTTTCTCTTGTGCTTTTTTATGTTCCAGTCTCAGGAGCTATACTAGTAAGAACTCTTGAAGCCACAAAGACATAACAAAAGTTGTTTTTTTAAAGCACACTTAACAATTCAATGGTTCGGAGGGATGCATTATGTAATTTCTTCAAAAAAAAAAAAATCATACAGCTTTACTCTGGAAGCACATAAAGCATCTCAGCCTTTTATTTATTTGTATGCCATTCATTACGGAAGACTCTAGGCAAGTAACAATCAGAAACATCTCTGAGCCACTTCCCACCCCACAAAAAAAAATCCACCCATAAAATAAACATATACGGTATCGTAATTATACAAAAAAGAAAAATGTACAAAATATACATCTGTCAAATTCAAATATTCAATCACAGCATGCCTTCTTCCTGAGCCTGCTGTGTGTGTGTGTGTGTGTGTGTGTGTGTGTGTGTGTGTGTGTGTGTCGGGGGAGGGGGGAATCAGATCTTAAATCCTCTCCAGAAATTTAGAAGAGAAGCAGGAGGCTGGGGAAGGACTTCCAGAGAATTCCTCAACTTGCAACAGTTCGTTTAGTGACCATTCCAAGTTAATATGGCACCCCAAAAAAAGTGATTTATGGCCACAACTGTTGTAGCATCCCCATGGCCATGTGGTCAAAATTCGGACGCTTGGCAACTGACTCAATTTATGAAGGTTTCAGTGTCCCCGGGTCACGTGATCGCCTCTGACAACCTTCTGACAACCAAAGTCAATGGGGAAGCCAGATTTACTTTACAACCGGATTGCTAACTTAACAATTGCAATGATTCACTTAAAAAGAAAGGCAAGGAAGATCCTGAAATGGGGCAAAATTCACATAATAACCGCCTTGCTTAGCAACATAAATTTTGGGCTCAATTGTGGTCGTAAGTCAGGGACTACCTGTATAATGGTAATTTTAATTAGGTTAAAAACAATGGAGATTATTGGATTAAAAAAAAAGTCCTCTTCCTACATGTCTCTATTGTAGTCTTTAAGTGATGGAGCCCAGATGCATGCTAGCCATCTTGATGACAATTGGGTTTTGTTTTGTTTTGTTTTGTTTTGTTTTGTTTTGTTTTGTTTGTTTTGTTTTGTTTTTAGAACAAATCTGCTTAGAAGGAAGTGATTGGGTTCTAAGTGATTTGTTCTAAAAACAAAACAAAGCTCTAATTCTCATCAAGGCGTCCAACCTGCATCTGGGCTCCATCACTTTTAAGACTACAACAGACACACATAGAATGAGGGTTTTTTTAATCCAATAATATCCATTGTTTCTACCTAATTTAAAGTAGCATAATAAGATAGGGGTGAAGTTAGTCTTCCCCATGGCCTTCTTCTATTCTAGAAAGAAGAAATAATAACTAGTAGTAGAAATGTAAACAATCAGGGGAATGAATGCATTTTTATTGCTTATTTTATTGCTTTTCTCCCATCATTTTCAAAATTCTTTTCAACTCTAGATTGAGAACCAGGCATAATGAGATTCAAGATTAGGTAAGTGTTCATATAAACTAGTTCCCACCCCTTGCCTGTTACAACCAAATATGATGTGTTCTTGTTATTTTAGTCAATTGGGACAATAAAAAAAAAAAAATTAATCTTAAAGTCCATCTTTTGATGACTTGCATTTTCTCCAGAAGAGAAAAAAAATCTGGAGAAAGTCACAAAATACAAACACCTGCAAATAGAAATAGAATTACTTTGGGAAAAGACAGAAAAGCAAATACAGTATCAAGAGTAACAGGGCCTTGGGTACAATCCCAAAACATCTGGAGCATCCCTTGAACTCTGTCGGCATTGACAAAAAGGCAGCTTTACGTGGAACAGCTTACATCCTGCAACACCACCTTTAGAACCATCAAACAATTTCCGTATCCCAGGTCTTTGGAAAGGACTCAAAAGGTGGATAAAAATGCTAAATCAAGCCTAAATAGCTGGCTGTGTGACCAACAATTAAAAAAATGTATCAAAGGACCTGCAGTCATTATTCAACCATACTGGCTTTGCACCAGATATTTGCTTAACACAATAACAATAGAGTGTACAGGTTATGACAGTCCTACCTTTATTGTAGCATCCTCTGAAGCAGAGACCATAACACTGAAAACTGGATGGAAAATTACTCTTGTGACTGGACTTCTGTGCCCACTTAATGCGTACTTTTCTGGAGGACGGGGAATCCATTCTTTAGGATCTCGCTTCTGACCAAGAGGCCCACCTGATGTAAATTCTTCTTTAGCTTCATTTAATTTGGATTCTAATTCCATAACCTAAGTTTCCAGAGAGTCAAAAGAGAGAGAGCTAGGAAAGGGTACACTGTGTTTAAAAAAAACTCAAATCCTATCCTTTTTCAACAGGTTTAGGAATGAGAAAATTGTGTTAATGAATGAATGAATGAATGAATGTCAGGCTTTATTTTTTTCTGATATTCTTTTTTTATTTAATTTTTATTTACACATTTCACTTGTTAATTTTATTTATGTAAACATAAGCCAGCCAGAGTTGGGTTTTATCAGAGAGATAGAGATGCCCTGTAAGTACCTATATACATACAAATCTACTAAAAGGCCTCAGGAATAATTACAGAACAGTGATCTCCAGATGTATACTGTATACCAAACTTCTTCAACTTACTCTTCTTGAAACATAGTGGATTACAAACCACTTAATTTGCAAACATCACAACAAAAGAAATTAGGGGATTAATAGTATAACTTGTATGGAAGGTATTGGTTGAGGAAATTCTGTTATATGCAGTTATGAAGTTGTATAATATAGTTTTCTAAAAGGAACTCAACAAAACTCCACCTCTGCCTGGTTACTTTGAATCAATTCAGTCCTTTTTTTTTTTTTAAATAATACTGAGGCAAAATAAATCCAACTTTAGCTGAGTAATACCAGTAAAAAATTTACCATTTTCCCTTAAATATTTCTGGATATTTCCATTTGTTATGCCATCTTCAATTGCAAGTTTTTTTCCTTCAAAGCCTTCAGGTTAGTTTGATTAAATTTTTGAATATCAATAAATTTGAAAGCTAGGCAAACCCAGAGAAATTCATTTTTTCTGTAAATTCCCACTATCGCTTTCAATTTGTTCAATCAATGTGTGCGGGTATGAGGGGGTTGTACAAACAAATACACAGACACACAGGCAAACATTTATATTTTATAAAAAGAAAAAAAGTCATGTCCTGCTGGTTTAACTTTCCAAAGTCATATGCACTTAATCTTGGAACCATTGCACATTATTAAGAATAAAGTATTTTCACAATGCTTTTAAGTTAAAAGCCCTGGAAAAGATATCCAGTACCACTGTATTGGAACCATAATGCTAATCAGCATATTAGGCCAAATAAACAAGATTAAAGGTCTTTTTTCAGAATATGCATCCGAATACGAGCCACGGTGGCACAATAGTTAGAGTGCAGTACTGCAGGCTACTTCTGCTGACTGTTGGCTGCCTGTAATTTGGCAGTTCAAATCTCACCAGGCTCAAGGTTGACTCAGCCTTCCATCCTTCCAAGGGTGGGTAAAATGAGGACCCAAATTGTTGGGGGGCAAGATGCTGACTCTGTAAACCGCTTAGAGAGGGCTGTAAAGCACTGTGAAGCCGTATATAAGTCTAAGTGCTATTGCTATTAGGTAGGTTTGCAACCTTGACTTACCTACAAATAAAGATGGTGGGGTGGATCTAATAAATAATTTAAAAAATAATTTATAGGACATTCAGTACCCAAGGATTTTAAAAATCTGTTTTGTTTACTGCAGTCCAAAGATGGTCTTGTCCATCATACATACATACATACATACATACATACATACATACATACATACATACATGGTATTACATAATGAATATTTGGATAGTGCATCAGAACTAATTGCATAATTATTGAATATCTGAATTTCTTCTATATTGAAACAATGAATTAATATATGTTTTTATACCAAGAGGGGTTGGGGGGGGAGGGGACTACTCTACGTCAAAGTTACTTTCTGAATAGCTATCCACAACAAATGTCAAAGGTTCTCATTCTACAGAATTTATATAGTTATAAACAAGTAAAAGCTCTACTTGCTGTAATGTTTTTAAAATAACATGTTAAGAGGAAATTATTGCTTGTTGAACTTGGATGTGGGAGATTCAGATATGAAGAACCTACTTGGCAGAGAGCTCATGGAATCATTTTAGGCCAGTTAGTAACTTTCAGCCAATCGTACTTTCTAGGGGTGGATTGGAGGGTCACATAATTCTGCTTTGAGCTCCTTATTGGAAAGAATAAATATTTATTTTTATCCTGCCTTCATTATTTTCATAAATAATTCAAACACAGGTCATACACCGTCTTCCTCCTCTTTTCCCCACCAACAACCCTGAGGTGGGTTAGGCTGAAAAAAGGGAACTGGTCCAAACTCACCCAGCTGGCTTTCATGCCTAAAGCAAGACTAGAATTCACAGTCTCCTGCTTTCTAGCCTGGTATCTTAACCACTAGACCAAACTAAATATTAAGATTAAACCAGTAACTAAGAAGTATAAACGGCTCTTCAAAATTTTTATTTCAGATCTCAGCACATTTTTTTCTCAGTAACATACCAATTTAAGTTTCTACTTACTTTCTTTTGTAATCTTATAACTGATGTCCATTTTTTTTCCAAGAGCCCAGCATATTTCTTATCTAATTCTTCATTCTGGGGGGAAAAAAGGGAGATTAAAGTCATTAAACAAATCAAAAAATTTTTAGGAACATTTCCCTCATGCTTGGTTTGTCTTCTTCAAGAAGAGAGGAAGAACAACTTCAGGTTTCATAAAAATGTGGAACTTAATGAAGAATCACTACAAACCTATTTCTGCTGGTTGGAAAGCCTAGGTAAAATAAAAGCGGTATGACTTGATAAACTTAAATGTCAGTCAATACCAAGTTTGCTAGGTTTTTTGTGAATGATTTGTAACACTATCACCCTCCAGGAGTTATGGGGATTGAGAAGTACTGTATTTTTCGGAGTATAAGACGCTCCGGACTATAAGACGCACCTACCTTTTTGGGGGAGGAAAACAGGGGGAAAAAATCTGCTTTTGCCTCCCAGCATCCATCCGGTATTCATCTGGCCCATTTACTGAGGCCCATTCAGTGCTTCCGCAGCCCATTCACCACAGCCATTCGCCGCTACCGCCCATTCGTGCGGCCTGTTTGCTGCTGCCTGTTCATCACCACCAGTTCACCACAGCCCATTCACCGCCGCTGATCCCTGCCACCTGGAACCAGCCAAAAATGCAACACGCGGAGGCCAAAATCAGGGCGTGCAGAGGCAGAAAACAGCCAGCAGGTGGGGGCCGACAGGTGGGTGAGGCTTCGGCAATATTCGGTGCACACAATTTTCACCCACTTTGGGGGAGGGGGGGGGAGTACGTCTTATACTCCGAAAAGTATGTGCTGATCTGTCACACAAATATAAGATCTACCTAACTCAGCCATTTTTCCTGCAGCAGGTAATCAGAAGCCTCTCTGAAAAACTCTAAATAGCTCTCTAGATTATTTTCCCAGATACGATTTTTCAGGGGCAGACTGGCTGAATTATTATCTAGATGAAAATCAACACATGTCATGGCAGCAAGTCTTATTCTGAGCCACACTGCAGAAAAATAAAACTGTCACCAATGTGTCTTAAGAATGTAGCTACTAAGAAGTTTCCGTAGATAAATCTGATGAATAACAGGTTAGTTAAGACTATAGGCAGATTATATAAAATATGCCTAATCCATAGATACGAATGCTTATTTCAGTTGGGGTAAGCAAACAGGAGGTGTTACAGTAGTTTAAGAACACTAACAAATTGTCTATTACCAATAAACTTTCTTGAATCTCAATCCATATTATCAGATGCATGGAGTATTTTCCTGGGAATTAGATGGGTAAGAGCGTTAGGGAGAGAGAGAAGGAAGAAAGCTATAAAAAGCAAGGTCAAATGAAAAATGAAATGTAGAAAGTACAGTCAGCAAAAATTACCCACAGATAATGGTCATTAACAGTTACTGGGTGTGAAGCACACAGTCTTGAATCAATGAGCTGATTAAAATATGCACTGCAGTATGAAAACCTGGTCTCTGTATTACTGGGAGCAGTACTGAAATCTCTCAATGTTTCTAACTCAGCTGTTTTGAGATGGAAATACTTATTTTTTTATTCCTTTAAGAATAAAGGAATAGTAAGAATATAGTAATATTCTTATATAGTAAGAATAAAGGATTAGTAAGAATAAATAGTAAGAATAAAGGAATAGTAAGAATTCCTTTAAGAATAGTAGCTATTGTTTGATTTTTTAAAAAAAATATTTTAAATTCACTCATTCATTCTTTACCGAATTCACACTCTTCTGGCTTCTCTTTTATTCTCTCATAAGGAGAGAAAGCCTCCCTCGTGGTTGAATAACAAATATTTAGCATATTCAGATTCTCCTTTTTACCTTCTGGGGAAAAATATTTAATGAGATTGATGGATAAAGCGGCACTCCTCTCATCAAGCACTGTTTTCAATTACACAAACAATGAGATTACAATAGGACTTTATCTGAATGAAATTTAGGGAAATGAAATTGGAGCCTCAAGTGAGTATTTTGGTAAGGAAAATGAAATTTGATGTTTTCACAGTCTGAGATTAACATGTATTTAAATTGCATGTAGTCTTGAGATGTCTAAAGATCTGACATATTTCCAGATCATACTGGAAGGTGAATGGAATGCCTTAATATTTTAAAAATATTTATGTAGGATGGCATTCTACACTGCTTAGGCTTTTTTTTAAATCTAAAGTATTTTATTGTAGAAAACCAATCAATGAGGTACATTTATAGAATAATAAGTGTCTTCTAAAAAGTATATATTAGTATACAATATTAAACACAAAACATTAAGACAAACTTGCATTAGAAAACATATTTCACAGAATACAATATAGTGTGGAAGCATATCGAATGAATTTTAAAAGAATAAAAAAGATTAAATAAAAAGAAAAGCTGAAGTAATTTATCATTTATTTATTTATAAAGCTATACTGATGTACTACTGCAATTTCTTCAGTATATAATCTTCCAAAAAGGCCAAGAGGAAGAGATGAAATGGGAAGCAGACAACTGACTATAAGATCTTCACATTCCAGAAGTAAAAATAATATTAATGGAAAGATGGCCTGGTTTTACTGACAGAAATTGCTCAAAGGGCCTGAAACTGTTTATCATTATTGATAAAAGTCAGAAAACAGAACTTATAATTAGGAAATTTATATCTGCGCACACCAATTTTCTTTGCATCTTTACAAGTTGTTTTGAAAAAAGAAAAAACAGGTTTGATACTCCAGGAAATCTAACAGTTATGTACAACAATATTCTCTATCAGAATCTTATATTTATGTCATTCTAAAATTAATGAGTAGTCTATTGTAAAGGTAAAGGTTCCCCTCGCACATATGTGCTAGTCGTTCCTGACTCTAGGGGGTGGTGCTCATCTCCGTTTCAAAGCCAAAGAGACAGCACTGTCTGAAGATGTCTCAGTGGTCATGTGGCCGGCATGACTAAATGGCAAAGGCGCACAGAACACTGTTACCTTCCCACCAAAGGTGGTCCCTATTTTTCTACTTGCATTTTTTACTTTCAAACTGCTAGGTTGGCAGAAGCCGGGACAAGTAATGGGAGCTCACCCCGTTAAGCAGCACTAGGGATTCGAATCGCTGAACTGCCGACCTTTCAATCGACAAGCTCAGCATCTTAGCCACTGAGCCACCGCGTCCCATAGTCTATTGTAGATGCCACTAATGTGCCACTATTAAACTAATCCGTCATTTGAGGAATGATCCAAACCATTGAGGAAACTATTTTACATTCAAATCTTTAAACAAAAAACAGAAAAATCATTTTTTAACTTTCATTGTTAAGGATAAAACATTTTAATTATTTTTATTTATTATTATAGTTACATGCTGCTTATTTAATTGATTACAGCGACTTTGATTTCCAAACATGTTGTTAATATAGACAGAACTATCCATATTGAATGAAGTCCTGTGAAGATGTGGGCTGGATTATAAATTTCTTTCTAATGTAAAGTAGTGGAAAGCAGACAAAGATGTTTTAAATAATCACACATTAAGTACAGATTAATAGACAGCTTAATTGGTATTGTTTTGCATTTTAAACAACGACTTTGAAGGACAACTGGTGAATATTTTCCATAACTATTTATAATCTTTCCATTAAAAAAAAAACAAAAAATGAAGATATAGAGAACTGACAAATGAGATTTGCTGTTTTCTCCTGAAAACAGCAATAAAAGGAAATTTTAAAGAATACTGAGAATTGTATTGAAATGCCCCAGATAAATCTATACCTTAATCCAGCTCCAATATTATGAGATTTTGCAGTAGAGTTGATTGGGAAAAAAAGTGTTGAATAGACAAAGATAGCCAGTTATATTACACTGGAAGTAGCTAAACATTTTTTCCTTATTTTTGTCTAGTATCTGAAACGAAGGGATATGAGAAGTTTGAATATGGTAATACAAACATCCTTGATTATTCCTGTTTTAGGCACTGTCTAAAAACACCTATTTGGTCATGTTAATCTTTCCCATTCTATAACTCTGTCTAGTTAGTTTAATGGCCTATTTTTTTATCCTATAGCAGTTTTCACATTATTCTTGCAATTCACTTCATTATTTAAATAAATGAAAACTGCTATACAGATACTTTAAATGCACTTATTTATCATTATACATGTATTTTGAATGCTCGTATTCTGCCTCAAGGTGAGGGATATTATTTCAACAAAGCCTGCCCAGAATCCATCAACATGCAGCTATAACTTTCAAAATCTGATTCAATTCATCATTAATGCTAAGGGTAACACTAAGACTATTAGACATTATACTATACTGGGGCGGGGGACTGCTGACACTATATGACCGCTGATAAGAGACTGCGGGAAGAATTATCCCCCTAGCTGGAATATGAGAAATATACTCACCACATCAAGTTCTGCCTCCTTTTTAAAAACAGAGTATGCCTCTTCATAGCCGTTAGAACGAAGATAATCTGCTATCGCTCGATTTCTAAATGGAGAGATTTGGTTCACAGATTAACATTACAGGAATTTTGAATAGTTATCTCCAATACCTGCTCTACCAGAACCAACATGGAGACAAAACTGTCCCCTTTTGTTCTGAAAGGGAAATGACGACTCATTGCGATCCGTGTGTATATTTCTCACAGTTCTGTGCAACATAAAACTTAACTTATAGTCAGAGGTGGGTTTCAGCAGGTTCTGACCAGTTCTGAAGAACCGGTAGCGGAAATTTTGAGTAGTTCGGAGAACAGTAAATACCACCTCTGACTGGCCCCGCCCACATCCATTTTCTGACTTTCGAGTCCCAGCTGATCGGGAGGAAATGGGGATTTTGCAGTAACCTTCCCCTGGAGTGGGATGGGAATGGAGATTTAATAGAATCCTTCCCCTGCCATGCCTACCATGCCACGCCCACCAAGCCATGCCACGGCCACCAAGCCACGGCCACAGAACCAGTAGTAAAAAATTTTGAATCCCACCACTGCTTACAGTATATTTATTAGTAGTAGCAGTAATTATTTTGTTAGAAAAGAAAGGAAATCAGTCTTTGCCAGAACTTGTCAGAGGTTTCTGGCATCTGTTTCTTCTGTCATCCTGGACTGCTTTACAGAGTTAGGAGTGTTAGATACATGTCTAAATTCTATGCAGTGGAGGGAAGAATTTTGGACTTCCTACTTATTTTAACATCTGCCCAAAATTACCTTCTAAGGGAGAGGGGTGGCATTAAAAAAGTAATAAATAGAATAAAAAAATAAATCCACAGGTAAGTAATTGTAAGGGGGTGGTAGACCACCTGGAGTTAACATTGCATGTGTCAAGAAGATTCAGCTACACTTCTTTTCTTTCTTAAACCCCACTGTGGCAAATGGAAATCCTGAATAAATTCCTGGAATTAAAAATGGGCTGCATGAAAGCCAGCAATGTAAAACCTAAATCAGGTTTTGAAAGGATGATGGTACAGATAGTCCTCATTTCAGTGGTGAAATTCAAATTTTTTTACTACCGGTTCGGTGGGCGTGGCTTGGTGGGCATGGTATGGTGTGGCTTCATGGGCGTGGCAGGGGAAGGATATTGCAAAATCTCCATTCCCACCCAACTCTGGGGCCAGCCAGAGGTCTTCCAGCTAATTAAATATGGCAGCACATGCTCAGGTGACATTCCATTGACTTCCATAATTGGCAGGCTGCCTATAGAACGTCTGACTCTTATAGACTGAATTCACTGGTAGTTTCAGAGGCACAGCATCTTCAGCTAATCTTAATGGAGGGTGTTTGGGAATGTTATCTTTGAAGACCTTGGGTCCTAGGCTATTTAAAGTTGAATAGACTCTTATTACCATTTTAGATTCAACATGAAATCAGGAGTTATGCAGAGTTTATCTGCTTGTTCCAAGATGTCATATACAGTAGGGGTGTGTGTGTGTGTGAGAGAGAGAGGGGGGAGGGAGGGAGGGAGGAGGAGCTTTCAAACAAGTTCTGGATTTAGCAAGGCAGTTTTGTTCAACAAGGATGTTTCTTCTTGGCAAAAATATTGCCGTATACAATGAAGAAAACCGTTCTGCTAGCTTGATGACTCAGCCTTCCATCCTTCCGTGGTCGATAAATTAAGGACCCAGATTGTTGGGGGCAAGTTGCTGACTCTGTAAACCGCTTAGAGAGGGCTGTAAAGCACTCTGAAGCGGTATAGAAGTCTTAAGCGCTATTGCTGTTAATGGTCTCTCAGTAGTAATCAAAGGGTTAGTTGATGGTCAGTTAATTGCTGATCAGGTTGCTGTCCTGGTTCAATAAACCATGTAATGCCATTTCATTTTGGTCACAGCCTGCCTGCCATCATAGTCCTTTTGGAGAATCGGTGTCTTTTGTCCTTATTACTTCAGCCTGCTTTTACCAGCAAATCCTTTGGAATAGAAAAAGCTTCTTGTTTAGACTACAGAATGGACGTTGTCTTACCTGAACGTCCCTTTTCTGAGTGCTGTGAACACTATCCATGGTTGGCTGGGTTAGTTCCTTTAGCTTTGACAACAACTGAGTGAGAGCTAATTTCCCTTTCCTGTAGCTAGCCACACCCACATCCCATGATTCCCCAGTCTGACACGAAGGTGCAGCAAACTGCACACTATGAGGTAAAACAATTAACTTTATTAACAACAATAACCAGCAACAAAAACCAAAACAAGGCAAGAAGCCAAACTAGGGAGGGAATGGATAGTGTTCGCAGCACTCAGAAAAAGGACGTTCAGGTAAGACAACGTCCATTTTCCTGAGCGCTGCTCCCACTATCCATGGCTGGGATATACCCAAGCTCAACCTCAAGTGTGGGAAGTTGACTGCCCCCCAGTGTCCCTGTCCAATAACACTTTTTGTAGCACCCGACGACCAAAGGATGTCTCAGCCGAGGCATAAGCATCTATCTTGTTGTGGCGAATGAACGGGGAAACTGACAACCAGGTCGCCGCCCTGCAAATCTCCGCCACCGACGCCTGTGTCGCCCAGGCCGCAGATGTGGCCACGCTACGGGTGGAATGTGGCAGGATCCTACCCGGCAACAGTTTGGAGTTCAAGTCATATGCCAAAGCGATGCAGGCTTTGATCCACCGGCCAACCGTGGAGGCTGAAATCTTCAGACCCATTGAGGCGGGGTTGAACGAGACGAGAAGTGCCTCCATCCGCCAAAAGGAAGCCGTCCGTCGAATGTAATGGTGAAGGGCGCACCGTACGTCGAGGGTGTGCCATTTCTTCTCCCAGTGGTCACGAGGAGCCAGGCAAAAATCCAGCAAGATAAACTTTTGGGCCCGGTGAAACCACAAGTTCACCTTTGGAATAAAGGAGGGGTCTAGGCGTAGAATCACCGTGCTTTCTCTAAAAATACAGAGGTCCTTCCTAACCGATAGGGCCGCTAGTTCTGATACCCTCCTGGCGGAGTTAATAGCCAAGAGGAAGGCCACCTTGAAGGACAAGTATTTTAGTGCAACCGACCCCAAAGGTTCAAAGGGGGCCCCGTTAAAGCCCGCAGAACCAGAGGCAGATCCCACGTCGGGTAGCAGTGTACTGTGGGAGGGTGCAAGTTCGCCGCGCCATGCAGGAAGCCTCTGATCCACGGGTGGAGTGAAAGCGATTGGTATGGTGGGCACATGATCACTGTTGACAGTGCCGCCGTCTCACGACGCAGTGTAACAGGGGCCAAATCCTTTTCTAGTCCGGATTGAAGAAATCCGAGGATGTTGTATACTGTCGCAGAAGCAGGATCCACATGGTGGCTCGAGCACCAGCTGCAGAACACCCGCCACGAGGCCTCATAAATACGAGCCGTTGAGGGATGTCTTGCCGCTTGCATGGTACCTATGACCTTATCAGACAGGTTGTCCTTTTTCAACTTGACCCGTTCAAATGCCAGATGGCCAACTGGAGCCACTGAGGATCTGGATGACAGACAGCCCCTTGTGACAGCGATATCGGGTGTGGTGGAATCACCCACGGTTGGTTTACGGATAACGCCACGAGGTCGGCATACCACAGTCTTCGAGGCCAGTTGGGAGCCACTAGAAGCAGGTTGGCCCTTTCGGCCAGCAACTTCCGGATGAGGCGGGGCAGGAGTGGAATTGGTGGAAAGGCATACAGCAGACCACCGGGCCATCTGCAGCGAAGGGCGTCGTGATCCTCCGCCTGTGGAGATGGGTAGCGAGACACAAAACGGGGCAGTTGGGTGTTGGTTGGAGTTGCGAATAGGTCCACTACCGGAGTCCCGAAGCAGGCGGAGAGCTCCCGAAATAGGCGGGGGTGTAGTTGCCACTCTGCTGGATCTATCTGTTCCCGGCTGAGCCAATCCGCCCTGACATTGGTCGTCCCTGCGATATGGTCCGCCTTGATCGAGAGTAAGTGTTTCTCTGCCCCACTGAATAGGGCCTATGACTCGGACATCAGGGCCCAAGATCTCGTCCCCCCCCCTCTGTTCACATGTGCCTTGGCCGAGATATTGTCTGTGAAGATCAAGATGTGATGACCCTCCACTGTCATCTGAAATTGAAGTACAGCCAGTCTGATTGCCCGAAGCTCCAGGAGATTGATGCTGCTGCGTTGTTCGCACGGCAACCACTGGCCCTGAGCTACTAGATTGCGCAGGTGCGCCCGCCATCCCTGAAGACTTGCGTCGGATGTAAGGACTAGTCTGTCCGGTTCCAAAAAGTTGCAGCCCCTGAGAAGGGAGGGAGATGTCCACCAACTGAGGGAAAGCCGAACCTGAGGAGGCAGGAATACTTCGAGCCTCGAGCTGGACTTGCCCGCCCGTTGAAAGGGAAGCAGGAACCATTGTAGGGAACAAGAATGCCTGCGTGCCCACGGTACAATGTTGAAACAGGATACCATCTTTCCGAGTAGACACGACAACTGAAGTAAGGGAACTTTCCGTCGCGACAAGACCTGCTGGATTAGTTCGTGCATGCTCCAAACCCTTTCCGAAGACAGGTACACCTGGCCCTTGATTGAGTCTATCACTGCCCCCAAGTGAAGGAGCCGGGTGGAAGGAACCAGGTGACTTTTCTCGAAGTTGATTGTGAAGCCATGATCTCGGAAGGTCTTCAGTACAAGGTCCATGTCCCTGACCGCCTGGTCGTGCGTTGACGAGAGGACCAGGATGTCGTCGAGATAACAGAGAATTCGGACCGACAGTGGTCTGAGCGTTGCTGCCACCACTGCCACCAGCTTGGTGAAGGTGCGGGGTGCTGAAGAGAGACCGAAGGGCATCGCACAGTATTGGAAATGCTGACCCGTGTATTCGAACCTCAGGTATTGTCTGTGGTCTGGATGGATGGGAATGTGTAAGTAAGCTTCCCGCAGATCGACCGACTGGAGAAGGTCTCCTTGTCTCACTCCGGCTAGAATAGACCGGAGAGAGTGGATTTTGAATCTGCGGTAGCGGACCGCCCGGTTCAGCTGTTTTAGGTTTAAAGTGCTTCTCCAACCCCCGGAAGACTTGGGTACCAGGAACAGG